CCTTCTATGTTTTCCATGCAAATACCCCAAGCAGAACAGGACAGTCCAGACACAGCTCTAAGGTCAGCTGGAGTCATTTTCTCTTGAGTTGGTAACACCAGCTTGATATACAGAAAGGTTCATTTGTTTTGGTTTGGTTTCAATTTTTAAGAATCTATTTTCCCCTCTCCTATTTCTCCTTGATATGTAAAACATTCACACAGCTCAGAAATCCACAGTAGGGGTGCGTTCTGTGCAGTCTTCTCTCCTGTCTGCTCTACTGTGACCCTCAAATCTCTCCTTAGGTCATCAGGTTCATTGTTTTGTATACCAGCTCATATTTCAATCAGTAAATCATTTGGGTAGATTCCTAGAATAGAGATGCTGGGCACATGTGTATAATAAAACCTAAGATGTCTTAACCCAGAACTGATAGGTTAGCTTCTTCCATAGGTTTTTAATTTTTGTTGTTCATGAAAAAGAGGATTTTACTTATTTATTTTTTTGTTTGGTTGTGACAAGGTCTCACTCTGTAGCCCAGCGTGGCCTGGAGTTCACTGTGTATATTCAGACTGTTTCTGCATTCATGCTACTTTCCTTGCCTCAGCTTCCTGGGAACAGGGGCTACAGCTGGGAACTACCACATCCAAGTTTTACAGTAGAAGGTTTTTACATTTCTCTGGGATTTTTTTTTTATAATTTCTAGTTTTATCACATTATAACCAGAGTATTTATTATTTATAACATCATAGATTGTGGAACCTACTGCCATTTTTATTCCTTAACATATGATCAATTGTTTTTGCAACTGTTTCCTTTGCTCTTAAAGGAGTCTATTTTATAATATTAAGATTTATCACTTGATATGTATCCCTGAAACTAACAAATTATATTGTTCAAATCTGATAAATATTACTTATATTTTATCCAGCTAACATACCTTTTCCTGCATCTGCTATATTAAAAATCTATAATTTGTGCTGATATGTCTGTGTATCTCCTATAATTTTTGCTTTGATTGATAGATGTTTTTACATTACTCTACAATAACTATTGCTATCTTCCTTATATCTTTGTTTTGAAGTGTGAAACATGGCTTTTAGCATTGTATGTGTTTCTTTTTGTTTTTATTTAATCCATTAAAAATGGTCCACTCTTTAGTGAGAAATGTAATCCCTACTCCTTATAACAATGGCTGTATGCAGGGTTAGATCTCACTGTGGTTTCCCTGCTTTTTTTTTTTTTTTTTATTGCTTCTGGCAATGCTATCTCTCAAAAACAGAATACCCCTCACTGACTGAAATCTGAAGGATGTTCAGGTTAGTGAAAGACACTCATGGACCAATAAGGAGATATGAAGTTTATTACCTACACGATGGAGCTTCCCGTGAGAGTTGAGCAGACCTCAAGCCTTTATGCCCCAGTAGTTTCCTTTATATTAAATCCTTTATAATGCCTCTATTATTTAGCTGCTGCTGCATAACAAAGTGTCCTCCTAGTAGTTTAAAGCAGCATTTATTTATTTTCCTCACAGTTCCTGTCTTAAGAATTTGAGTGGGACACGCCTGGGTGCCTCCTATCTGGGCCCCTCTCATGCAGCTCCAGGCATGCAATTACCTGGTCTGAACTCTGTCTAGAAACCACCTTCCAACCATTCAACATCTGCCCATGGGCCTCAGAAGACCCGTTTTTAAGCACAGTCACACTGTTGCTGCAGGCTCAGGCTTTTCACTGTATGTTCTCCTAGGCGGGTTTCTGGACTACCCAACAATATGGCAGCTGGTGATTAGAGAAGGTGGGGAGAGGGAGAGAGGGAAAAAGAGGAGAGAGAAAAGAGAGATGGAGAGAGACAGAGAGACAGAGGGTACCAAGATAGACCTAAGGTGTTTTACAACCCAACCTCAGAACAGTACCCCACCACCACTTAGATTGTATTGTGTTTTCAAGTGCCTAAGCATAGCTTGCATTCAAAGGGAGAAGTGATTCAAATACACAAATGCCAGCAAACAGATACTACTGACTGATGTCCTACGGGCTTTCCATAAGTGATATCAGCGTGACGCCTGCCTGTGACGTGTACGGCCCTCGATGAGCTCGGTCTACTTCTGGTTTCACGTTTCCTTCTTCCCTTCTTAAGTTCCATTCTTTTGGCTTTCATAGAAAACGTTTGAATAGTTGGTCCCGCATCCTCGACTTCATTTCAGTTTTAGCTGAACGGCCTACTACAAGACATACATACCCATTGCCAGTGTTTTGGCTGAAAATGTTCAGTCCGTTGACTGGATGAAGCTCATCTGGCCCAGTGATTCTCAGCCTTCCTGAGGCTGCAACCCTTAGCGCAGTTCCTCTCATTGTGGTGACTCCTCAGTCATAAAATCGTTTGCATTGTTACCTCAAAACTGTAATTTTGCTACTGTTATGACCCATAATGTAAAAAAAAAAAAAAAATCTATGTTTTTCCAATGGTCCTAGGCAATCCCATGTGAAAAGCTCATTCAGCCTCTGGAGGGGGTTCTTTGGTTGAGAACCCCTGTTCTGGTAGATCCCTCAGGAAGGTGTGATGGCTGATCTTGGTTGTCACCTTGATTACGTTGAAAATCAACTAAACCCCACACTGCTGGGCATGCCTATGAGGGATTTTTTTTTTTTAATCATGATAATTGAAACAAGAAAACCCACCCAAAACCTGGGTCATACAGCAGTCCAGAAAGAAGACCACACAAGAGGAAGCGTTGGCTTTTGACTGCTCGCCCTCCCTCTCATTGGCCCATCCATCCTGTCACAGTGTTGCTTCTCAGGGATTAGAACCTATTTTTCGGACTGAACAGCTATAGATTCTTGGCCTTTCTGTTGTGAGACAGCCATCGCCAGACTACCCAAACCATACCCTATAAGCCAGTCTAATAGATTCCCTTGGTGTGTGTTTGTATTCATTCTATTGGTGCCGTCCCTTTGGAGAACCCTGACTAATACAGAAGGGATCCTGCCTGCAATCTTCCCTGGGTCTTTCCATGATCAAATGCTTTTCTGTAGCCTCAACAATTCAGGAGCTCGCTTCGTGTAAAGTCTTTGGCCTGCTTCTTACAAAACTGGGAGGGCCTCCCTAGTTGCTCTCTGCTTTCTCTGGTTGTCCAGCTCTTACTCTGGGCTCTGGGCTCTCTCTCAGAACCACTGCCATCTCCCCCGACCTGCCATACTGATGCTCTCCCAGGACCTCACCTGCCCCGAAGAGCTACTCTCTGACATTTACGAGATCCAGGAGCCCTCTGGCTGCGAGCACCTGGACATAGAGGTAGTCTAGGGTACAGACGCCAACACAGTGGAAATGTTTCCACCAAAGGCCTGGGAGCAAACACACCAAAGGAGTAGAACCAAGTAGTGTTGATTCTGTCTTGAACTATCACTTAAAGGAAACTAACATCATGTAAGAAATATGCAATGATTACACAAAATCACTCAAAGGCAAACTTGAGGGACAGAGACCAGAAAGAATAAAACCTTTTCTGACAGGGGCTGCAGAATTTCAATAACTACTGGTTTTTTATTGGTGAAAATATGGATCCAGACAGCACGGCTGCTCTCCTGGACTACCATGAGGATGGTTGACCCTGTCTGTGATTTCCTTTGAGGGTGGCTCAGAGATGGAAATACACTAATGAGCTGGTCAATTACCTTGCATCTATCACCTGTCATCATAACTGGCTTGCTGCCTGTCATCCCCACGATGCCAGGACTTAAGACAAGTGGGACCAATGTCATTTTGAGCTCTTCATATATGTTGAGCATAATTTGTTTAGAGCAGAGCTATTGTTTTTATGTTTTGTTCTGAATGAAAAAAAAAAAGCCATGTCACATAGGCTATGTGAAAGTATATTAGAACTAAAAAAAAAAAAAGGGGAGGGGGTAAGTTGCTGCCACACTGTTGCCTTAGTTAATAAGTCACTCTACGAAAGCCCAGTGACTACTTTAGAATGCTAGACTAACATCCTGGCTACTGGCACAAATAAGCTTCCCTTATGTGCCTTCATCAAGACTCAGTCCCCAAATGAACAGGTGAAAGAGATTAAAGAACTGTGTGACCACATGGCCCATTTGCACAAGGTGGAAGCCCCCAGACCCAATATGGCAGAAGATCTCTTTGACAAGCACACCCTGGGACAGCCACAGTGACCACAGGAGTTCAGGTGACCCCCCCCCAAAGACACCAAAGACAAAGGGAGAGCTATTACAGTGCGAGGATTTGGCGATGGCACATGTGTTTAGTGACTTACTTATGACCATAAAATTTAAGTTCTCTCCCTCTTGACTCCCGCAGCTTTTCTTTTTTCTTTTTCTTTCCTTTTGAAAATTGTTATTTTCACTTGTATTTACTTTTTGTCTCTGTCCAGCTGTGCAGACCAGAAGCCCCATGTTTAATCTGTCTGTGGGGTTGATTGTCATGGAGGGGGAACTTTCACCTCAGTGGCCCAAGCAGCAGCTGATACAGGGAGGGTCCAGAGTGAGCCGCATCTGGAGCGTCTGTTTATCTTGTTTGGAAGTTAAGTGTGACAAGCTGAAGGAGCCAATGGTGTGCGCATCTCTTCCCAAGCAAAAAAGCCCATAGTTGGCCTAAAATAGATAAGAATGTATCTGGTCACACAGAATACAACTCTTTGTTTAATGTGCTTTTCTTCCAAGCATTTGACATAGTTTTGAATGTGATTTTCTAATCTTTCCCATGTATAAAAAAGCTATAAATAATGTATGACCTGGAGCTAGAGAGATGGCTCAGTGGTTAAGAGCACCAGCTGCTCTTCTAGAGGACTCAGGTTCAAAGCCAGCACCTAACATGGTGGTTTATAACCATCTGTAAGTTCAGGTCTAGGGACCCAACGCTCTCTTTAGGCGTCTCTGGGGACTGCATGTATATGGTGCTCAGAGATATGTCCAGGCAAAACACCATAACATGTTAAAAAGTTGTATGACCTGTTTGCAGGAGGCAACTGTTATCTGCTCTAAATCCACCCCCTTCTTTTCTTTAGGTGAACAAAGAAAACGTGTGAAAACGACAAGTGCAAGCCTTGAGGAGTCCATGGGAACTGTGCAGGCGGCGCTGGTGAAAATGAGCAGAGGATTGCAGAGCAAAGTCGTGCCACCCATGAACCCGAAGTTGGTCACAGAGGAAAAAGTGAACCAGATGGTAATGTACCAAAGAATGTTTATGTGTGACACTTACTGAAGTGTCCTTGGGACAGTGCTAATTTGTTCATTCAGAATATTAGTGAATTGCTGATTAATGCCTTACCAGCCTTTAGTGTATGGGAGAGCATAATGCTTTCCACAGCTGGAGAAGTTCTTAAATTGCATAGGTTCTTCAAAGTGCAGGGTTGGATCTGGTAATCATTTGGAATAAAAGTTTCCGTCTCAGTTCATTTTCCGTTTCCATAGCAGAATGTCAGAAGCTGGAAAACTTCTAAGGAAAAGGAGCTTGCTTTGTCTTGCCATTGCAGAACTTAGGAAGTCCAACCCTGGGTAGCTCCAACTGGTAATGGCTTCATGGCACATGTACCCACGTGTGGAGGGAAGAAAGATAAACTCCCAGAGAATCATTCATTCCTGAACTGGGGCTCTGACACAATGAACTTGGGGAACACACCCAAATCATGGAACAATGTGAATGAACTTAGCAAACTTTTCTGAATGGTAGGCGGAGCCACATGCACTGCCAGTCTGTTACACTCAAATAACAGATTGCCACAAGGTTCATCGTCATCTTCCCATGCACCGGAAAAACTTGTTTTTATAGCTCGCAGGATGCAGAGCATTAAAAAAGAATGAATGGCATCTGAGAAAATTGGCAGTTTTCTTTTAAAATAAGTGTATTTGCAACAAGTGTAAACAACGATGTGCTAGGAACCAGATTACAATCCACATGCTGTAGAAAACAGTAACAAAAAGTGTGACGCAGGCCATGACACTCCCTACATTTTAAACCCAATCTAGAGTTGCATTCTAATTAGAAAAATGATCTCAGTCATTGCCTCTTGTGGCGGCTGCTGGTACATATCTATATATGGCTCTGGCGCTTTTTTTTTTTTTTTTTAAGATTTTGTTATTTTAACTTACACCACACTATTGCCAATACCTCTTGACACTGTTACTCTCATCTGTGTTCCGGTAAAGGTGCATTTCATATTTCCCTTTGGCATGATGTGGTCTAGCTAAACGCCCCAGCACTCTGCTTGTCTGATCTGTCGGTTCAGAAGTAGAGCTCCTCAGCTCTGAGGCCTAGAAGTGGGTTTTTTAAAAATATGTGTTTGTTTTGTGTGTGTGTGTGTGTGTGTGTGTGTGTGTGTGTGTATGTATGTTCTGCTGTGCAGTTCTGTGATTATTTTCTCTAGAGTTCCATTGTGTGCTTCCTGTAAGGGATGGGCTAGGACCTGTCACTTTCATTTGCTGTACGAAGTCCTCAGACATGCATGGGATTGCTCTTGTATAATTTAGTTATCTTCAATGTTTCATAAGGGAACTTAGTGGCATCCCACAATTACCCTGAAAGCTGTACATACAAATTATTCATTACTGGTGCTTAGGAGAACACTTCTTCAGCTTACCCATGTTTGAACTGGGCTCTTCTTTGAATTCTAGCTGACACCCTCAGAGTTCCTCAAGGAGATGTCCCTTACCACGGAGCAGAAATTGGCAAATACAAGATTTATATGCCGGCCACAGATCATTGAGCTCTTAGACATGGGAGAAACAACACATCAAAAGGTACGTCAAATGCTGGAGAGATGGCTCTCTAGTTCATGGCTCATGCAGAGGACCCAGGTTCAGTTCCCAGCACCCACGTCAGGCAGCTCCCAACTGCCTGTAACTTCAGCTCCAGGATATCTAATGCCGTCTTCTGGCCTCTGCAGGCATTGTGTTCACATGCACAAACCCCGTACATATGCACATAATTACAAATCAAAATTCAATCTTTTTAAAAAAAATGGCACATCAAGATAAGCATAGACCATATAATGTTCAGAACAACAGATTATAAATAGAAAATAGTGTTTCTGGGGTAGCTAATCCCTTCCTGGGTTTCTTTGTCCTTCTTTCCTATCTGTTGGTCTCTGTGACATAGTATGATAAAGTCATTATACTTAATAAGAACAAACCACATTTAAATTACTTCTGACTAATTCTTCTCCCTGTTTAGTTACTTCTGATCAGTATTTGATACAGTTGTTTGCAAGGTAAGAGTAATTCCAAGAATTATAAGAGCCAAGCCCAATTAAATTATCTCCTTGGAGTCACAAGCCATCCTTTATCACGAGAATTGTCCACAAATAATGAAGGGAGGGAGATAAATAAGCCTTTCCTGTCTGATTTTGGCCCATGTCCAGGAAACTTTCAGCCTAAAAAATATCGATGTTTTACATTTCTGTATTCTAGTGTAAACTACGTGGTCTTGGCTTTAGGCACAAGCAATTATAAAAAAAACAAGGTCTTGGGACCAGAGAGATGGCCTAGCAGTTAAGAGTATTTGTTCCTGCCACCCATGTGGGTGGCTCATAACCATCTACAGTTCCAGGATCTAGCGCCCTCTTCTGGCCTCTGTAGATACTGCACACACGGTGTGCATACGTACATACATGTAGGCAAAACACATACGCATACAATTAAAACTAATGAATTTTTAAAGGCCTGCTTTTTAGTTAATTTCTTAAACTGTATACCTTATTTTCTGCATGAATTATGCCATGACTCTCCACTGATGGGACAACTGCAGGTGGACCTCCTCCAAAGGGATCCCCAGCTGTTCCTGATTTGTCTGAGCTACGCTCCACATGAGGGGTCTCTGAAGCCTTTGCTCTTATCATCCAGGACCTACAGGACCACTCTGTTCTTAGCATTGCTGTCTTTATTTACTGATGTCATTTTCCCCATCCCCCAACAAACACCCTTCCTTTTTGAGCTGCATCAGTGTTTCCCAGAGCTAACTCTCTCCTCATGATGGTTTGCTTCTTTTTTTGAGGGACTGGCAGAGCAAGCTGGTATCGCCGCTGTGTCTAAGCGTCACATCTTAGGGTCCTGCACTGAACACTGTTGTGAAGGAGGGGAAAACCAGGATTCCTCAGGTCCCCCACACCGCCCTCAGCTCACTTGGTTGTTTCCATTTGTGTTCTGTGCTGTGGACCACTGGCCTCTGTTAATTCCTTCTAGATGAGCTTACAGAGCTTGGCTCCACGCATTTGATAATGATTGCACAACACCCTTTTTATTTAACTGCAGATTTCTTTCCCATCCGGTTCTAAAGTTGTGGGTCTTCCCCTTAACAACTCCATGGATATTTTCTTTCATGATCTTCTGGCATTAAATGATGCCTACCAAAGTTGAAAAGCCAGCTCAGCCCTCACCCCACAGACTCATTAACATTCCAGTCTGCACATCAGCTTGTGTGTCCGTCCTTCAGTCACGCTCAGTCCCTTACTTCAACATGACTGAGTTTTCCCGTGTCACTGTGCTCCTTGTTTTATCTGTGGGAAGTTTATTCCTTCACATTTCAACCATTTTTCATGTTCCTCTGAATTGTTTTCCCTTTAGGAACATCAATTATGGATGTGTTGGGCCTTCCTCGTCTGCTCTTCTGCTTCTAGAATCTCCTCTCCAACCCACTTTTAACTTTGTCTTCATCTACTTTTATTGAAATGACACTGAGCAGGCTTTCCTCTGTGTCCCTCCTTTGAATTACATGTTTGTCCCTCTTAAATGCAGTCCAGCAGATTCCGGTCAGCTCCCGTCACTTGAAGCCATGTCTCTTGTGTGACTCTTGTAATCCATCAGCTTCTGAGCAATGACACTGTGCTTTCCTGCCTTTGTTTGTGGGATCTTCTTTCCCTGAAACTCTCCTTTCTTTCCTAAATTCATTCCTAGATCAAAGCCTCCTAAACATGTTTTTTGACCTATGACTCCTTTTTGCCTGAGAGAATGTTAAGTGACCATGGTTATGTAGGCGTAGAAGATCGGTATGTGAAGCAGGCCCCAGGGAAATGGCTTTGTGGTTAACATGCTTGCTGCACAAACATAAGGACCTGAGTTCTAGTCCCCAGAACCCTTGTAATACACATGCCTGTATTCCCAGTACTCCTGCTGCGAGAGAGGAGTGGAGACAGGATGGCCCCAGAAGCCGGGGGCCAGCTAGCCTGGTGTGTGCTTTGGCAAAGAAGAGAGCTCCTGTGTCTGAAATAAGAGCTGACACCCCAGAATATCTGCTGACTTCTACACATGTACCATGGCACACACAAGCATGCACCAAACACACACACACACACACACACACACACACATCCTTTGCACATACTGAAAAGTTTAAAAATAAAAACTTTGAGAAAAGCTCAGTATACGAAACAAACATCTGCTAGTAAATTATAAAGAATGAATTTTAAAACGATTATTTGCCATTTTATCGCTTACTCTTATTATCATTGCATTTTATGCGTTTATTGTGCATGTACACACATAAGCACGATACCACAGCATGTGTGTGGAGCTCAGAGGACAGCTGGCGGGGGTCAGTTCTCTCCATCCACCATGTGGGTCCCAGGAATCGAACTCAGGTCCTCAGGCTTGACAACTAGTGCCTTTACCGATTAAGCCGTCTTGCTGGGCCCCAGTTTTAATCATCTATTAAATATGAAAGCAAATTCACATACTGATGAGATGGATCTGCTTGTTTACTTTTCATTAAGAATTAATCTTGCTTAAATGCACCGCAGATGGGGAGGATCATCAATATTTTTCAGAGTTGATTAATATTTTGGTGTCATAATCCTTGGTGTTGAGAATTCTGCTTTTCATAAACTTGAAGCAGAAGATGGTGAAAATCTGTTTGGGGCCATTCAGAAAGTGTGGGAAATTCTATCTGAAATTTATTTAACTACTTTCTATCTAAAATTCATTTAACTTTTTTTTTTTTTAATGAAACTCAAATCAGCAACGGAAACAACAAATTTTAAAATCACACATTCTGGTCCAAAAAATGCACAAATATGACACGTCCACGCTGAGGGCCCATTGTAGGAAACTATTAAAGGTCTCTCTTTTCTGTAAGTAACCATGTCTATATGAAGAGAAACACTGTGTAAAAGCACCGTAATTCATGGCATAGAACAGTCTTGAAACTGAGCCAAAGTGTCTCAGGCAGCCTTCGCAGGTGTGCGCTTCCGTTTCCTTAGTATGCATAGCGTGCTTCCAAGGTGCTGTCACAGGCGAAACGCTGGCCACTGTTGCCGGAGACACCTTGGGTTCGCCGTGCTTTGATTTTGAATTAGCGTGGGGTCATGCACTCAGAAAACTGTTCGCAACTTTTTCATGACCCCTTCCATTCAGTTAGGTGATCCTAGATGAGGTCTTGACCCACAGGCTACGAAGCTGGGCCTCAGTTGACCCTTTCTAGGAGAATGGCACCTTTGAGCCTCATCTCTCGTTTGTTATTTATGTATTTAACGCTGGCCGTGCTGGGAGGTACATGGGGCGCCTCATGTCTGCCAGGCAACAGTGTTTCCACTGAGCTACATCCCAGCCCACGTGTTTGACTCTGGCCTTCACATTTCTATCCCATGCTCAAACTTGACATATTGGAGATCCAACTGCAGATTTGTGTTCTGTCTCTCGAAGCCTTTGTCTCTTCTTTTGTCTCTTGCCTCCTGCAGATAGTAACTGCATTTGTCTCGTTTTCCAGGCTACCCTTCAGAGTTATCCTGGTCTCTCTCTCTCCCTGTCTCTGTCTCTCTCAACCCAGCAGCAAGTGCTGCAAACTCATTGACTTTCACAAATACATTTTTTGTTTTCTCAGGACAGGGTTTCTCTGTGTAGCTTTGGCTGTACTAGACACGCTTTGTAGACTAGGCTGGCTTTGAACTCACAGAGCTCCACCTCAGTCAAACCACTTTCACCGTCTCCTCCACCACCAGTCTAGTAACCAACATGGAGACTGTTCAAATAGAGAAAGCAGTCTTTTCCTTTCTTTCTTCCTCCTTCTCCTCCTTCCTTCACTCCTTTCTTTCTTCCTCCCTCTCCACCTTCCTTCACTACTTCTTTATTTCTTTCCTTCCTTTCTCTCTCTCTTTTTTGACATGTGCATGTGTGGCATGCATCTTCATGCCTGTGCGCCTGTGTGTGGAAGGCAGTGTGCACGTGTGTGCATGTATGAAGACACTGACATGGGCTCTTGCACTCTCCAGCATATTTGTAAGGCAGGGTTTCTCACTTGAAGCCAGAGCTCTGCAGCTTTAGGTAGGGTAGACAGGCAGTTGGCTCCTGGGGTCACTCACTTCTGCCTTCTGAGTTCGGGGTGACAGACAGGTGGCTACCGTGTCTGTTGAGCGTTTAACACATGCTTGATCCACTGAGTCAGCTCCCTAGCCCTCTAGCCTCTGTTTCTGTCTTAGCCCTTTATTACCAGGAGTCCACAGCACAGCCTGAGTGACGTATGAAAGCGTAAATGAAGTCTTGACAAGCTAGATCAGTGGGTAGAGGAGCTTGTCATCAACCTTGATGACCTCAGTTCAAGTCTCAGGACCTCTGTGGAGGGAGGAGAGAACCAAGTCCCACAAGTTGTCCTCAGGTCCCCATGCATGCATCACAGCAAGGATATGTGTACAGGTGTGTGTGTGTGTGTGTGTGTGTGTGTGTGTGTGTGTGTGTGTGTG